TATACCCTGTATTTGAATATATTGGAATAATCTCTCCAGGGGAGTGGTTGACTCCGCCGTGCCGGACACTTTCAAGACACAGCTGGACAGGGTGCTGGGCCATCTTGTTTAGACTGTGCTCTTGCCTAGGAAGGTTGGACCAGATGTTCCTTGAGGTCCCTTCCAACCTGGTATTCTATGATTCTGTGATTCTGTAGTTTTTAGTCTGATCAAACTGAGTAACAAGTCACAGCCTTCTGTTGAAGTGAATTATAATCACAATTTCCGTGATCCCCAAGCGGTTTCACCATGCCTGCAGAACTGCGTACTGACTGGGCATCTGAGAAAGCAGATGCTTTTTTAGACTGAACTCCTTGTCATAAAGGTAGTTCTGGACAGTCTCTGCAGATCAGGACTGGGAAACTTGGGAAGATGGCACCGCCACATTTGTGCTAAGGACAGAAGACACCAGTACACAAAGCTGTCAGTTTGGCCCCTTTTGAAAAGCTTTAACATTCCCTTTAAAACACAGTTAAGGGAGGAGAAAAGGCCAAGCAAGGTATTGATGAAAACAGTGTTAAAAAAAGCAGCACTTAATGGTGGAAGATAAAATATATAATCAGGCTTTCAAGAACGAGCACTTAATTTGCCTAAAAACTATTACAGAACTCATTCTTAATGTACCTGATTTGCATAAAATCTTTTTTTCCAACTACCTGTTCCAGCACACACCTAAAATGGGGAAGCACAGTCCTCCATCACATCTCAACTTGTCAAGCCAACATTACAGATGTGCTGCCTATTTGTAATGTGATTTTCCAGCCTCAGATGTCATTAGGCACATACATACCATGTGGGAGGTTATGTGTATTTTAAAAATATCTTTTAAATAGTCATTAATGAGCAGAGTTTCTCTCAGGAAGCAAGGCAGTGGTTCTAGGAATGAATCCACCTGCAAGTCTCTGTGTGGCTTCTTTGCACCGTGTGCTAATTCAGCTTCACTCAGAGGCTGCTCCTTTGGAGTCAGTCTCCCAAGTGTTGCCTGGATCAAATTCTCCGTATGATCACCTTCCTGCAAATTCCGCCCGAGCTCCATATGTCAGGCTGGATTTGCTCTGTTTTCATGCATCGTTACCAGCAGCTGAAGATCTGGCCAGTGGACACAAAATGGGGAGACAATTGCAGCTCGCTGCTCTGCAGAGACCAGGACTTGCTAGCAGACCTAGCAGGCATAAAGATCTGTCAAAGCTCCCTTCCCCACTGCAGGGACAGACAGTGACACAGCAGGAGGGGTCTGAGCAGGGCAACGCTGCAGCCAGGTGATGGGAGCTTACGGCCACGTTTCAAATCACAAAGTGGTCTTTGGCAGATGGATCCTTCAGAGAGGGGTTAAAAATTGGTCTGAGGGTCACTGCCTTGGCACTCCAGAGAAAAAGGAGTTTGTGGCTGGGATTTGGCAGGTGGCACCACAGTCGTGGCAGGAGAAGCTGCCGGGGTACATTTTCTTGCAAGTAGTTATAGTTACTGAGCCCAAGCTAAGAGCTCCTGCTAACAGCAGGGTTCGTTGGCTCCCTTGCTGCTGCCCCGGCAAGGCTGGGGGCTACCCCATACCCCGAGGGGCGGCACACATGCTGCCAGCGCCGCCTTCCCAGCTGATGGAGGGGGTGCTACCTGACGTACCCACAGCATTGCTCAGCTCAAGCCTCTGGTGTCAGCACAGTCATACAGGCAAAACTGTCTCACAGGACCAGCTGGTCTCGGTGGGAGCAGAATAAGCTGTCCAGGTAAAAATGCAGTTTCACTTGTAAATAGTTAGTCCATAATAAAAAGTACCTTATCAATTGATTGCTAGTGCTAGCATAATTTGCTACTATTAATACTATACTAGTCATTATACTCTAATTATAAATTTGCCCTTTTCTTAAAGACTTTAAATGGTGCAAAATAACAATTCCTGGAAAGCCGTTAGAGCAGCTGATCACTCTCAAACCTCCTTGTTATTTCAACGTCCTCATTTCTTAGTCTTCTCTCAAGTAAGCCCCTGGAGATACTTTGACAAACAAGGTGGGAGATGTTGCACTGTCTTCCAGCCTGCCAGTAAGTAAAAGGGATCAGTCCCAGAGATACCAGTTGGACATCTTCAATCGGCACTGTGTGATCTTTAACAAACGGGTCAAGGAAGCATCAATGTTATTTTCTCTCTAAGCCTCAGATTCCCATTGGCCCAGGTTTATTCAGAAATCAGGTGGCAAAAACATTAGAGGGTATGAAATTTCTGGCCTCCTGCAGCTTTTCCAGCCCTGATGGATTCCTCTCCAAGCACATTTGACCCCTGCTCACCTTCACTAGGCTTCAGTCCAGGTGCCAGTCTGATTCAAATTTGGTATTTATAGCTCCAGAGTTTTAATTGGCACTGTTTGACAGAAGGTATCCCTGCCTACAAAATTTCATGGTTTTTAAATTAAGGTTTTTGGAGGGGCTGAAATGCAGGAAAGGGAAATTTTATCTTGGTTGTAGTTTGGGTGAAGCATCTGAAACAGCTTTTTAGAGTGGCAGCTTCAGTAGAACATTTTAAACCAAAGTTCATACTCTGGATTTGTAAAACTGCAGTGTTTGCAGCTAGCATCGACATTTGCTGTAACAGATGAAGATTAAAGATCCGCAGCTCTGATTTTCTCCTTACACTTCTAATTGCACTGTACTTTTGACAGGATTTCATACATAAACTCTTCAGCGATACAGCTCATTATCCTCTTCCCCCTCCCCCCCCCTTACCTTTAGAAAAGCGCAGAAGGGAGAATTTAGTATCCTAATGACCTATTTTATTATATAACCACAGGAATTGGGAGGAGGGAAAGGAGAAGAGGACTCTAGATTAAGGGTTGATTGCTGAAATTATTTTAACTACTTTTTAATTGGCAAGCTGTTGAGTTGTTATCATCAATGAAAAGTGCATCAACAAGCAGTATCTAAAGCAGTAAACGTTTCCATTGAGAAACGGAGCTCCCAAGCTCTGTAACCATCATCCATGTAGTGAAGAGTTCATTAAGTGACTGGATCACAGGAATACATGGTTCAAGAAATATCAAGGGTGGGGTTTGGAGTCAAAAGTCTTTGTTGTCTTCTTTTTTTTTCTCTGAAGAGGTTATGGAAGCAGGGCAGGAGATGTTTGCACGGCCTCCAGCTGCCCTGCTTTGGGGGCTCTGCAGAGTGGGGTGCTGATCTCTATCTGAAGACCTTTTCCATACAGATGTAAGACATGCAGGTGTACCTCCAGGGCTTGCTTTGCTGTCAGTCTCTGTTAATGGACTCTGAAGTGCCTGCACAGTTTATAGACCTCTCATCTACTAGTGGGCACCTCTATTCCAGACCACATGTAAAACATCTTTGCATTCCCTTGATGCTGATTTATACTGTTTAAAGAGATGGGGGCGGAACAAGTTTTTAAAAGGTGAAGAAATTGAAAGCTCCCCTAACTGCTGTATTATCCACCTGACATTCTCCAAATGTTAGTCATTAATTACTAATGCCTTGAAAATTGGAGCAGTTATCCAATTCAAATTATGTTACATCTCTGAGCCAGAGCATTTCCATTATCTTATCATTTCCTATTCTAACAATTCCTCCTTATCCACAGTTCTTAAAGGCTCAGACCCTGCTCTGTTTCATCTCATTTGGGCCTCTTATCCGCACAAGGATACTTCTACTCCGTGTCTGTCCTGCCTTCATGTGGGTGCAAATTGGTGTGGGTTTACAGCATAATTATTACAAACTTACAAATCTGGCCCTCCTGCTCCTCCCAGAACTACATGCGTGCATCTGATGGCAGAACATGGCCAACGGAAGCCATAACCTTCTTTTCCAGTTGGTGATCAAGTGCCTGGGGAAGGACTGAACCTGGTTTAGGGCTTAGGCTGCCCTTGCAATCCTTGCACCTGCAGACCTCCCTGTGGACTGGGCAGGAGAGTTCACAGTCGCAGTCACACCAAGCCCCAGGGCCAAGCTCTCAACCGAAGCAATGCCCTTTAGGTACCAGCAATAACTTGTCCCCATGGTGGCAAGGCAGGGTATGTTTCTGGAGTCACCAATATCGCTGGTTCTAGGTGAGCTGTGTATTGAGAAATTACGGGGTGTATCTCCTGGCACGTTTGTGCTTCGCTTACGTATATTTTCATGCCTGCCAGCACTCTGAAATCTAGACATCGAGTGTTGGGGGCAGGTAGATGCAATTTTTCATGCTGCTGACATTAATTGGATGAACAGACCTTCTCAGAAGGGGCAGTGTAAGAAACGTAGATGGAAAAATGACAAAATAAGGACTTTCACAGCTAAATAAAGACAAGTGGCTGAAAATGGTTTTTACAGCTTTGGCTTTCATATGTTTCATTTGGGAATCTAAAGCCATTTTGCACAACAACTAACGAATTAAGATTCACAACACCTTTCCAAAGAAGATAATTGCTCCTGTTTTACAGATGGAGGAACAGAGGTATTGAGGCTATCATTTGAAAATATGTCCCCTGTTTTCAAGTCCCTAGATTGAGATACATTTAAACCTCATTCTCAGAAGCATTAAATACCTCCATTTATATTCATTCATTTGGCATTGTTTGTGCCTAGAGTCTCTGAAAATCAGATGCATTGCCTCCTGACTTGAATGGTCAAAATAACTTTGCGATGTGGCAAAGACTGCAAGGCCACACTGGGGCTGGGACCCATGTTCTTCATGCCACATCCCGGTTTTACTCACTGAGTATCCTGTCTGCCTTGCATTTCTGGCCAAGAGGAAGAGCACGGGCTGCTCGCTCGGTTTTCCTCTGCTCTCTTGAACAATCGGGCATTATAGCAACAATATTGTTTGGATTATTTATTGACTTTATATAGAGTCATTGTACCTTGTCTTTCCAGATCATCAAGAAATTGTCTTCAGGTTTTTGTAATGAAGTTTCTTGTTGTAGAACTAGCATGGAAATGAATAATTTATATCACCTGGGTTTCCCCCATTGTTTTGTTTTTTTCAGCATACAACAGTTTTGCCCTTTGTATTAATCGAGATGAGAACAACACATCATCAGTATCCCAGCAGGAGCTGTGGACTGGCTGCAGTGTGCACCTTCGCTGTTGGCTATATTTTATGGTAAGGGCTGTACACACTGTGTTTTGATATTGTATTGGGGGGTTTGTACTGCTAAATTTGGGCACATATTTCATTATGGATATAATCGCTAACAGATTCACGCTGCATGCCTCGTTTGGTCCAAGACCTGGGCTTTGTCTGGTTTCCCCAGATGCTTATATTTTTAGAAAGTATATGCCAAACCTCACACAACAGGAATTTGTTGAACAATCCCATGTAAGCAGTGGTCTTTCCAAGGGTACATTTTTCAACCTTTTTTCAAGCTAAATGTTTTTCTTGGACCTTAGTTTTATTGCTTAGGGTTTTTGTTCTATCAAATAAAATTGAGAATAGGCAAATTATTTCCTGCATCAGTATTTAAGCGGCAACAGAAAAGATAGAACAGTGTCTTTTTTCTTTACTAGTTCATAAATTCTTTCTGTAAAATTGATTACAGAATAAGCTGGTAATCCAAACACTCTGAAGTTTGTTTTTAAAAAATGCAAATGTTTGTGAAAAATTAAACTGAAACAGAAATAACCTTTCTTACACACCATTAAGTCTTTGGTCAGTTTCTGTTCAAGCACCCGACTTACAGGACAGTTAATTTACTTTGGTCATTGTAGAATTCTATTTTTCACTAAACCTTTGTTTTATTTACAATGCTCCTTTGATACCATATATCCTTTATCCTTTCTGCAAACATTTCATGAGCCCCTGTTTACTTCTCATATTCTTTCTTCTTACTTCACAACACCCTTCCCTCAGCTAAGAGGATATTTTCCAACATTGTGGGTAATACTGCTTTTTCCACCAGTCAAGAGAGATAAAACTAAGGAGAGAGGAACAGAGCTGAAGGCAGTACTGTCATACTGCTTCAACTATGCAACTTGCCCCTTCAGTCCAACAAAACAGAGGCCATTATTCATACACATCCACGCTCGCTGAGTGATCGTAAAATGCCGGTAATCCAGCTGAAGTGGGGTGTTGTGTCCCAGGACAACAGTCACATTTCTGACATTTGCTTTTATAAACATACATATCCTTCCTAAAAAAGAATAATATTTGTAATTGTAAGATAAGGACAGCCTCATGCAAAAAGGCACGTAGTGATTCCTTCAGGAGAAAGGAATTTTTTTTTTAACCCATATATAATAATGCACAACTGTGATATTTCTCAATCTTCCTCAGAAAGGTGCCTAGAGGCAGGTTGGCAGAGTTACTGTACCTGTGATCTGACCTCCTGTGGCAACTCCTGTTTTCTCAAAATCATCTGAGTAGGCACATGCAATAGTATTAAACAGGGATAGGGACTTGAAACAATCCAGTTCTGCAAGTGAAATAAAACCAGAGGTGTCTTTTAAGAAGCTGTTGCAGTATCAGTATGATACTCGTATGGCTTGATCCTGCCCACTACAGTGCATCTACATCCTACAGCTACATATACAAGGTAAAAGGAAATTGTAGGACAAGTGAAGCAGGGGAAGAAGATTCTGCATTAAGAAATAACAACTAAGCAGATACCCAGTTACAGCCTGTGATCAGTTCCCTTCGCTCCCTCCACTTTTGCTGTTTATTTGTTTTGCCTGCAGCTACATTATTTCCAAAACGGATAGGGCTACTCTCAAGTCACTCACCCTCTTCCAAGTTGTGCTTTCTCTAGAGATGGTCTGAGACAATTGCTTATTCAGCCTAAAGGCCATCCTGCTAAATTCTGCATTTGCAGCCCATTTCTCCTTCTATTCTTATGAAAGAAGGTCTTTGGGGAGGACTGGAAGCAAACACAGGCTACAGTGGGCCATCATCTGCAAGTTCTGCAGATCTTCAGCCTACAGGTGTTACTGAAGCCTCCATCCAAGATTGGATTGAGGCTGCAGGCCAAATCTTGGCTTGATGATATCAAGACAATGTATCTGACATTCACGGGTTGGGAAAATCTACCAGTAAGTATGAAAAGTGGGGGTTTTTTCATCCTTCTCGCTCAGAGTGTGCCTACTTTTCACAGCTTAGGTCCACTATCTTCCTGCTGCCAAGTGACCACATTGAAGTAGAGACCTTAATCACTTAGAAGGTTTGGAATTACTTAATTTGGATTTGCTGCCCTTGTTGGTGAGCTTTTTAGACCCCTCAAGGTTAGCACAGTGCATTAAAATGAAACTACATCTTCAAATGACCAAATACAGCCTGGTAGAACTTTGGCCCTTTGTACCGTCGGTTGTCCGTGGGTCCCCTGCTGGGGCTTAGTTCTTGGTTTATGGGGGTTTTTACCTAGAAGTTAGGGATCTGCCGCTTGAGAATTTGTCCTTCTCCCTACATCATTTTTCCCTCAACAGAAGTGTTTTCCTTGCAACTCTCTCTGTATAAAGTGGAGACAGTTTCTAATCAGATGTTCTCTCTGGTTTGCCCTTGAATTTTGAACTCGCTCTCTCCCCGCCTCAGCTGAAGCCTTCTTACCATGCTACATGATATATATGTATCACGTCGCACTTTGTAGTGTAAAGGAGCATATAGGAGGGTATTTTTTAGGTTTGATTCTGTTAATACATTTCTTTCAACTCCAGGTAGAGGAGACCTTCTGTTTTATTTCATATGTGACTGAATCTTTCACATATGGAAGAGATGGTGGAGTAGCAAGCTTTTATTATATTTTTATATTCGATAAATGATAAAACAGGCAAACAATTCTGAATAGAATCACTGAAGCTGGAAGAACATAGCTAAATAACTTGATATCCCTTGAGCATTATTCAGAGAGATGTTATCTGAGAAACATCCTTTCTTGAAGAGTAAAACCTTTTTCTGTTTTTCTTTTTTTTTTTTATTTTTTGCATTCTCTCCCTTCAGTCAAGTCGGAGAGCATTTGAGTAGGCACGCCTAGCTCATGTGCTCTCTGTGAGGGGGGGCTCTCCCTTGCTCTTAAGGAACTGTGCTCAGGCAGAGCATTCACAAACTTGCCTTGCCTGTCGCAGACCATACATGGACTTTTAGGATCAAGGCCATGGGATAAGATGGGAAAGGCCGATTGGCTTTATTTAGCATGGCTTGAAAAGGTCACAATTTGTATTGAATTGTTAAATCTAGACAGTGCTAAGAAAACCCATGAGCTTGCCAGTACTACCAGAAAATACTGCCAATGGGTGTATGGAGTTGGTTGTCAAGGAACAGAAGAGAGCCAGAAATGCGTTGCTCCTTGTAATAAGAATGACCTCATGGTAACTAATATCAGAGCCTAATATGTCCCTAAAATAAACTGAGACAAATACGTTTATTTAAAATGGTTGTCTCGTTCCTTCTGCTTTTGAGCGCTTGAGGATGCCAAAAACCAGACCTTCAGAACCTGACTCCACAGCTCTAGTCATGCTGGGCTATGTGTTTGGGAGCAAAAGACTCTTGTTGCTATCTCAAATGCACTAGGAGCTGCCTCCATATGTGCCAAGCTTGGCCTTGATTCATTCTTTCATTCTTTGATAAATCTATTTAAAGAGCTCAGGTACCTTAAAACTTCCATTTGAAAATAAAGTTTCTCTTGAAGTGACTTTAGGAGAGTTCTGTAGATCTGTCGAGGGAGAGCATTTAGGTGGGGTAATTTGCTGAATTCTTCTTGAATGAATTTAAGAAAGGAATGTCCACTGAGAATTTGGAATTAATTTGAGATCAGTGTTGTCAGCCTTGCTGTAGGATTTCCACTAGTGATTCTCCATAGAAGGAGAGGAAGATCAGAAAGAGCAGATGTTGGCAAGGGGATAAGGGTGCAGACTGCTAGGACAAACCTTGACATTCAGAAGAGAGTGGTGGAGAGTCAGAGCATGAAACTTGGTGGGAATTGACAGCCATATCAATAAAGAAAGGCAGGACTGAGAAACCAGAAGGGTTTCTGAGGTGGCTGGTGCCAGTGGAGCAGGAGAGACACAGCAAGGCTGTGCTAGAGTGTGCCAAGAGTCTGAATGTATGGAGGATGTCATGAATTGGACGTAAGCTTTTGGAAGTGAGCACTGGGGACAGAAGTTCAATAGAGATCAGAGGAATCAGTGGTTGGGGAAAAAAAGAATGAAAAGTCGTTTTGAGGAAAGTAAAAGAGATGAACTAGAACCATGGGCTAAAAGAGAAATGGGTAAGGAAATGTGCAGCTCACAGGTCAGCAGCTTGAAAGCTGAAATCATGCAAGTAAGTGGGAAAAGCTGGGAGGGGGAGAGAGAGACAGGCTTGGAAATCAGAGTGGAAGGCTGATGGAGAGGTGGGTGATAGATGAGACAATGCAGAGGAGGAGAAAAGAGTTGGAGCCAGAGCTGCTCAGAACAGGAAAGAGTAGGAAGAAGTAGGAGCAGCAGAAATAGGCCAGGAGAAGATTAGCGTCCCCTGCACCTGACCCAGAAGGAGGGTGGGAGAGCAGAAGAGCTTTCAGCAAAGAGAAGGCTGCATAGATCCTCAGCCTGTTAGGTCTGACACAGCCATTATGGACTGTTACATTCTGGCTCCCCTCCACCTCCACATCCTCAAATGTTTCAGTCAAAGCAACGGTACGATCACAGATGACATGCATGGGTAATACATTCTCACTTGCTTGTGCAGCTCCCTAAAATATAGTTCAAGAAGGCATAGCAACCATTACTATATTTAAAATGAAATATTCTTTATCAAAATAGATTACTTCCAAAGATGACAACACCTTGCAGTGAATCTGCAGAGTTTCTGTCATTCTAGCTACCTGTACATAAACACAAATTTCTGCTAAGCTTTGTTCATCCAGAGGATGCCAGCATCACGTCAAGCTGAGTATGTTTTGCATGTGACATTATTTGCAGCTGCAGTTTTCCAGGACTTCTCATCTTCTGACTGCATAAGCCGCTCCATACCGGTAGCGCAGTCCTGTGACCCGTGTATAGTTCAGCACCACTCACATCCGTGGAGGAGAATCCAGTGTAAGAAACTGGAACAAGATGGGATGATTGCTGCTATTTCCTAATTGATGACTGTTTATTGAACTTATTTTTTTTGTCTAAAATTTTTCTAAACAACATACATTCCTTATGTAGGTGACTTAGGCCTGGCTGGCTGGTACTACAAGAAGCCTAGCATCTTAATGTGGCTGAGACCTTAACAATTCTGATTAGATGCAGAACAGGCTGTCGTATGGGGTCTTTTTTGGGGGGAAGGAAAAAAAATCATAAGGGTTTATGAAAATATGCCTCATATCGATCAATATTAGAAACAAAAAGTAGAACAGATTTTAGTGTGGGTCATTGTGCTCCTGCCTCTGAAAGCACAGGGTTGATCCCTACTCTATAACCACAAATCATTTGTTCATTCAAGTTTCAAATGACTCAGCTGCTGTAAGCCTGTCACCTCCTTTGGGAGACATTCCACAATTTAATAGTTCTGGGTGAAGTTCTCACTTTCTGTGGAAAAGGAAGAGAGTGATGCTAGGACAGAACATGAAATAAAAGTGTAGAAAATGCCCATGTTCCGTTGTTTGGTAATGAGTAGCCACAACAGGAACGGGCCTAGGATTTGTTTGGGACCAAAGATTCAGCCTTCTTTTCTGCCAGTCGCTGGAAACCTGAATGGCACAGAAGATGTGGGAAAGGATTTACTGCTGCAAGAAGTAACCAGAAAGGAACTGCCATAGTAGATCAGAGTAGTCATGTATCCAGGCTCCGGCTGTAGCTAATGTCATTTGCTTCAGGAGAAGATTTAGCAGGCCATTTTAGAATAACCAGCCTGTAAGGGAAGTTTTCTTCCAAAACTTATGTCAAAAAGTAGATGATTGGATCCTTCAGTCTTCATGGTTTATATACCTTGTACTCTTTGAACTTAAGCATAACTGTACACATTCTTATTGCTTGTGCAGTTTCCTGACTTCAGAAGCTTGCTCGAGTTGCATGGAATGGCCCAGAGAAAAGGAGTGGACTAAGTAGACTTCCAAACTTGTATACTTTTCTGAATATCTTGATTTCCGTGATGTATCACTGAAAGGTAGGGGTAGAGCATTCCGGAGGTTAATTAGGTGTCATGCATTTTCAGACTTGAATTTGTTGTCTCCAAGTTCTCTTGAAGTGCTTATTCTGTTATGAGGAAGAGCACTGGGAGCTCTTCAGCTATTTTATGACATGCATCATTATTCTGCGTCCTCTCATTGAATGCACCCCTCATCTGATAGTTCCTCTTTCCAGAACACGTAGTGCTGATTGGTGTTTGGCTGCAGATTTCACTGAAGGACTCAACTTGGGCAGGAAATGGGTAGAGATTCTCAGAGTTCAGACCATGATGTGCTGCCAAGCTGTGATGCCTGTGCAAGTATATTCAGACTCCTGTAGCTGAGAGCAGCCATCATGAAGAAGCCACCATTTTCTGCAACGTCTCCCATCACAAAATCTTTCAGTGTCTTGGTTATCTGCCATTTTATCCACGTGTTGAGCTTGCTTCTGCCACGACTAAGTTTTACACATGTTGTTGCAACATTGCTTCTGCCACGACTAAGTTTTACACATGTTGCAACGGCTGCATTACAGGTAGAGCATGCATAAACCACAAGGTTCTGACAATTTTTTGTAGTTACTTTTCCTCATTAACAAAAGATCTATAGCCAAAGAATAGATGTACACGTATCTTCTCTGCGTAGTTTTCTTTTCCTCCTTATTACTTTGATAGGAGAGATATAGAACATCTACTGTATACTAGAAGTGAAAAACAGCTACAAAGTCAAATTTTTGACAGATTTGTTAAAAAGAAGCAATATTGTGTGTTTTCAAATAGCTTTTTCTGATTTCTACACCAGCTGGTTGAAAATTTCTGAAAATCACCACTTCTTTTAACAGACATTTTAATTTGAATACAATGTGTGAATATTTCCATTCCTTCTTTTCTTACCAGTTCTATCAAATTGCTAAATGAGCCCGATGACCTGTAACACATTCATCTTTGAAAACACATGGTTCTGTCTACACGGGCTGCCATGGAACCAAAACGTGGGGAGGTTCAAGTTAATTTTATCTTCTAAAAAGTAGCCGGTCCAGTTTTAGCTTAAACTTTTTCACCTCCGTTTATTTTTATCTAAACGACCCATTTTTTATACCTGTTCAATAGCAGGGTCTTAAATTGGATCTAGATTTGCACTCCTAAGTAAATCTTAACGCATGCTCCCCTGTGCTTATCTAATAATGAGGCTGGGCAGGAATAATGACTACTGGAATTGCAACGTTGAAGGCATTCATTAACATTAGTAATCAGCAATCTTGTGTGGAAGCTTTATGCCTACGGTTGATCAGCCCTTTATTGTGCGGCGAGGAGATAGCTTGTATTCAAGCAGGAGCAAACCCGAAGGAAGAAAGGCCATCAGGTGAGGTTTCCATGGCAGCAGTCGTCCCTTTGCTGCTCCCGTTTGTGGTATAGACAATGGAGGAATAATGAACGTGTCAGCGCTCGGTGGAGAGGCGGCTAATATTGCTCCATCCCAATGTAGTGAGCGGCGTGGTGCAGCTCATTTTAAGGAAGATCAGGGCGGCTGATCAGGTGGGTCGCTGTGGTCGTTGTCTCCCAAGTGGCGCACAGTACCTCCTGTGCTCCAAGCATGAGTTCCTATGGTGTGGCTGCACCAGGAGCAGGCGTACAGCAGCCACACTGAACGGACGAGCAGTATCACCGAGCAGCGGATGGGCTCCCGTGCTGGGCAGCAGAGAGCAGAGCGCAGGAGCAGTACTCAAACACTCTGAACTAACCAGAGATCACTGGCATTGGGAAGCTCATCGGTGACTCATTGGTTGGATTTAGAAAATATTTCCTCTTCCCAGCATAAATGCATTCTAGCAAATGCCACTTCAGCTTGGTTCATGAAGTTGGCTACTTAGGTGCAGTTTAGAAGGTCCCTTGAAAAGTGCCTCTTGTAAAGGTGCTTTATAGTGCCAGGCAGTTTCATCACACCAGAGAAAATAAGTGGAAAAGAAGCACTGGCTGGTTTTTCAAGCTTTTTCTTTGGAGCTTGTTTTTCACAGAATTATCATAAAACAAAAGCAAATGTCACTGAAAAACGTTAGACACCGCCTGCCAAGCCACCCTGGGAGCAGAGGACATCACATTACCTTCTACTCAACTGTCCCATCTTCGATCAAGAGGAGCATGGTATCCCCTGTTGCCGTGGGTTACACAGGAACCCTGTATTTTTTCACAGATACCTTTATCTTGTCAGGTTAATTCTGGCACAGAAGAATGTTGTAGAAAATAACTCTAAAGTACAGAGATCATTTTCCATATGTGAACTCATTTGGAGAAAGGCTTTTTAATCTGCATTTAGATCGTGCAGATTAATTTACTGACACATGTAAATTCCTACATGAAGTGTCCAACTGTTAAGGGTTTGGCTGTAATAAAAGCTTTTCTAAGGAGGAGGGAAGCTATGACAACCGTGTGCATTTCCAGGGTGATGGAGAATCATTGAACAGGGGTTCTGTACTCTCTGTGTGACAGACATTTATGGTAACAATTTTGGGTGGACTTCTGTGTCTCTGCCCTTCAGGAGCCTATGAGTGTTGGAACTAGTGATCAGAAGTCTTCCTTAAGCAAATAGAAGTATCAGCAAGTGAAGCAAATCGTATGGATGTGGAAATCCCCATCAGTATCAGTCTGTGTGGCTGCTGAGTCTTCTCTAGCTGTGCTTCACTGTGCTTCTCTCTCAAATTGCTGGGTCAGAAAGGAAGATACTGACATTCCTGAAGAGAGCCCAGCAGCTCACGGGCCCCAGCCTGTCTCCGCTGAGCACTTTTCCCCATTAGCCTCCGTGATGTTTGCTCAGTTGTTTGGCAGCATTTGCCTTTCTTAGCTTCCATCTACTGGAACGTATGGACTTGCTCTGCTCCCTCTTGATTTCACCACTGACCACCACGTCAGATCTCAACGCAAAAGCTGTCCCTTTGGAGGGTACAGGTGTCCACTGCAGTCACACAGAGCGACACCACGTACCTGGAGTGCTTCTTCAGGCTGCACTGCAGTAAAGCTGACACCCCCTCTCTTGGGTTAGCGTACCAACAACCTGCACTGTAGCTCTATGCTAAAAATCTCTGTGTCACCAGCAAACCGCCATCATTCCTCTTTTTTTTATATTGAGTGTGGAGCTGGGCAGACTTTCACTGATGAGGTGGTTTCTTTTTTTATTTATTTATTTAAATGTTTATCCTACCTAGAGAAAAATTATTAGATCCCAAATGATACCAGGTAACTAAAGAAAAGGAGGAGCAACCTAAACCACAGGTGCTGAAGAAATTATTCTCTCAAAGAGAAGCTGAACCATATGTTTCTGGCAAACCCCAGAACTGACGCACTTGCCAGGTGTAGTGAGGAGAAGCAGCAGAAACACACAAATGTGTACAAAATGAAAGGAGGATGCTGCAGAAAGCAGAGAGTTGGGCTATTTAGAAGAGCCTGGAGAACGCCGAATGCTCTTTGGATAAAGAACCTGCTTGGAACAGAGAGTGCTGCAGTTTCCACGCTGCCGCACGAAACTGGGGGGTGTATTCCTCGTAAACATAAATGTAGCGAGGAAATACCTGCCTACATCAGAACACGAAAATTGGCCAACTGCTCATATTAAATTTAAAACAAAACAGTAAGAATGTGGGAAATCAGTCACAGTTTCATCACTTGTGATGTCTGTTCTGGGTGGATTTCATCCAGGTGCTCCAGTTCAGTTGCAACTTGCAGTCCTTTCAAATAATGGCTTTTCAGATTACAGTAGCTAAGCCTATAGCCCAAGCTACTTTTTCAAAAGAGGGCTGTAAGAGTCAGTACTTGTTTTTGTTTCGTTTCAGGGTGTGCTGGATTCACCACGTTACAGGAGTGTGGGTGTACCCGCTTCTTGAGCACCTCAGCCCAGGTGTCAAAATAATCTTTTTTGCAGCTGTTACTGTGGTAATTAACATATTCTACTTGATGGGAGAGGTCCTGAACAACTACATCTGGGATACCCAAAAATGTGAGTATTGTTTTATGAAATTAAATACACTGCTGGGACTTGAGTATGCTCCCCCGAGAGTCGAGAAGGTTTTAAGCTGGCTAGAACAAAGGAGAATGACAGAAGTTCCACTGAAACATCTTGCTTGCTTGCTCTGAAAAGCAGCCAGATGAATGGAATGGCTGCTGGAGAGCATGATGAGCTATGAATATGTATTCCTTTTTATAACTTCCAATACTAATTTAAGAGCTGTTGGCAATTACCTGAGAGGTTTACAACCCATTTGGTTTACAACCCACTTATTAGCTGATGAACCCATTAAATGCAGCTAGAATAAAGTATCATTCTCTGGGAATGCTGTTAGTGGTAAGCTTAGACTTAGAAATAAAAATATATTCTTTTAGTATTTTCAGGTATAAGGTGTTTTCTGCTTACAAATTTACTCAAGGAAAATGAATATGTTCACGTCAGTAAAACAATAGGAATGAAAGATCACCTTAGTGCAGGGTAAGCGTAACTGTGCAGACCCTACATCATCCACCCTACCTAGGCCACCCACTGCTGAGTAAAGGAAAAGGGAACATAAGACAAACACAAGATTAAAAGTGTGTTCCTTTAATCTATGAAAGATGTTTTTCATTTATCAAATTTCCTGAAATAAGAAAACAACATTCATCATCGCCACAGTGGCAAATCACAACTGGAGTAAAATCCATGTTCCGTGGGAATTCTATCATTACGTTTGTTGAGCCCATTATATGTTGGGACTGTATGAACAGCCTGTATCACCTCTGGGGAAACTTAGTGTGCACTGGTTAATACACCCTAGATTCACATGGTAGTTTATTGCACATACAAATCTCTCTTAACAAGTCCTCCAGTACTAGGCAGAACCTAATGCCAGAAGCTCAAAGCAGTTTTACTTACCATTTGCTCATATTAGGACCCAGATATAAAATGTCTTTTTGGTTTTGCTCTAGAAACCAGCGATTGTTGGTCACAGTGTTCAAGTCTGGTTTTCAGTCCTCAGTTTGATGTCAAATTCACATCTCTTTAACTTATTTAAGTTAACGCAGGAAAGAAGTTTCTAAAAAAGACAGCCGCGAGGAATAATTTCACTTGACCTAAGTCCCGTATGAAAAATAATAATGTGGTGAAGAATCACATGTTCTTACCAAGTTCATGAAAATAAGTAAATGGTGGAAAATCTCCCTCACTGTTCCACAGCATGTGTAACAAAATCCCTGGTTCTTGTGGCCCTCCACCCTAGAGGAGCTAACATCAATCAGGTCATTCTTCCAACCTCTTCCAAGGTTCACCATGGCCCTTATTATCCTCTCCATCATTTCCTTGATTTGGTTAAAGAATATTGATCCAAAGTCCTTTGTGGCTCAAGCACTTGCTGTCCAGAAAACGCCATGAGTCACCTGCTGGTTTGCTGTGCTTGAAACACTTTGCATAAACCTAACCTGAAGCGCAAACACCACAAACAGCAGAGATGTAAAATAATGCCAGTCTGTCACCGTGTGAGACTTGGGAAAATACTATTTGAAAACTGTATGTTTAAAAGGGACTTTTGAGCAGTAAGCTTGCAAATTAAAGCAGTCTGCCAGCAGAAGATTTCTGGGGTGAGAGGGGGTTGGTTTGGGTTTGGAGTTTTTTTCCTTTTCCTCTGGAGATGCATTAAATAAAACCTCACTACTGACAAAATGATTTGCAGTTAGTTTTTCCAAGTTAAACCACAAACATGGTAGGCAAGGAAAAATTTGCCCTGCCAAACTATTTGATGCATCTGCAGTAGAGTGCTTCAGAAGAAAGGAAAGAGGCTCTTTTAAAAAGGCAAATAAAACAGCTCATTTAAAACTATTGGAAAGGTTCCTTCCAGCAGAAAGCAGAAGACTCAAGATTGGCTCTGGAGCAGCCTTGTAAACCCACTGTAATCTATTGGGCCCGGCCTCTTGTTTTGGTTGTTAAACCTTCAACTGTGGCTCTTCCATTGCGTTGGTTTGCCAGCAACACCCAGGGCCATTGTACTTAGGCTGCTGGCAACGCGCAGACCCAGTTGTTTCCGTGTTGCTTCTTTCAGCAAGGCAGCTCTGCAGTTGTGCTTTCTAACTGCAGATGGGTCTTATTAGTTCCCATACTATGTTTTTAAAGTGACTTTCGGTGTACCTATCATCTGTGCGTATATTGCATTAGCAGGTGATCTTACTTGTAGCTGAATTTTCCTCTCCGCGTTCTCAAACATTGCTTCTCTTTTGTCTTCAGTCCTCAGAAGTCTTTCTTTTACAGCATGCAGCAGGCCTGAAAACCTCCAAAAGAAATATTTGTATTTGAGATGTCTGGCAGAGAGGGCTTAGTCAGAAGAACAATACTTTTGTCAGATACCAATAGTAATTCATTGTCCAGAAACAGGCACATGAAATAGCTGAATGTTTTCATTGCCAGAAAAAACACGATCTGCTGCCCGGCCCAGACTTTGCTCAGTGTAGAAAAGAGACAAGTCCTGCAGCAAGGATAAGTTCTTTAGGAAGCCCCACACTCAGCTCAGCCCTGCTGATATTACTGAAAGACGTGGCCATTACAAGAAGAGAGAGGCACCCTGTCAAGTGCCATTGATTCTTCATTCTTGTACTCTCAAAAAAGGGAGATGTACTTGCAAATATTTAAAAATCCGATGTTGAAATGGAAGGGAGGGTTAAAATTGCTGAATTCTGAAACACAATTTTAAAAACTCGCTTTCACATAAAGTCGGCTGCTTAGCTTCAGGTATAATAACATCTACTTTATTTTGCTTGTAGGTAAGCAGAGGAGGTGAGGAACTAACTGTTCCCAGACCCCTGCAGCCATCAAAGGCTGAGTGTGCGGCAGGGGGTTAGGCAGATTTGAAAACGGTCCGGAGGGAGGGAGGATTGTGCGGTTCATTACTGGACAACCACTGCCATCAGGTGTGCAGATGCTCTTTTCGTTCGCAGCAGGTGAGGTAACACATGCAAGAGCATGTGAGCAAGTAGGGGAGGAACAGCAGCAACAGAGGGGAAAGAAAGATGAATGTGTTAGAAGGAACCTCTCTAAGTAAACTCTTCATTTTGATTCATTCTGAGATTTTTAAAAGCTGTTCTCCATATGTTTTCAGGTATTGAAGAAGGAAAAGAAAAGCCAAAATTGGACTGAACAACAGAGGCAACATGGAGGATTGTTTATGGCTCCATGGAAGATTTCTCATCCCCAACAGAGGTTGGCATGGAGAGGAATCTTTTGGAAAGGAAGACGTTTAATGGGCCCTCTGCTCAGTGCAAGGATATTTTGGGGTTTTATATGGAGGGAAAATGGTTTTAGCTAAGAATAATAATAATGTTTCAACCTCCATTCCCATTTCTCCATGCTTGCATGTGGCATACACATATAAGATGTATATTTATCTCCACGGCATTCTCAACATGCGTTTCTTGCATCCAATAAGTCATTAAACCATTAATTCATTAAATCTTTTCACTTCCACCAAGAAGAACAATTAATCCATTCTCTGTATTGTTTGAGAAAAGCTTAATCAGATAGGTCTAATATGGGGAAACAAAACAATCCTATATATTTCAAAGTACAGTGTAAAAATACAGTAGAAGTTAATTGCATGAATGTATCTGAAGAATAATTCAATCCAACTGAAATATTAATGTAACACTGTAACAACTGCCTTAAATCAGTGATGTTAATAATTTTATCAGTCCAGTAAAATCTTATTTGCAGCGTTCGGCTATCTGAATATGATGCAATTTTTCTTAAAGAGGCCTAAATAAAGATCAGATCCCTGCATTTCTGTTTCTTCATGCTGATTCTTGAAATTCTAGATGGATTTATGGCATTTGAATTATATATTTGCAGGTTTTCCTATGTCAGCTGTAGATGATGTTATTTTTACATGAGGATTTTTCTTCTTATTTTCCTAGTACAAGACCTGATCCTGCATTTTCAAGTTGTAAGTTCTCAATTGATGGGCTGAGCCCTTAGTGTTATACCAGAGAGAGCATTTAAGCCTTACTTCAGGAAGGCACGTAAGCAAATGTTTAAACATATGCCTGTTTGTGTTAGGAACGCAGTTGCAAAATACTAGCAATCGTTTCAACTTGACAGGATTCTGTTTAATTATCAGACAATCAAGAAGGAACTCGAGTAGGCAGAAAAAATGTCTAGAATTAAAATAAATGAATGGAATAATTTTCAGCAAGAAATTATTTATAAAAATGTAACTTTAAGATCCAAATGTCTTGGTATTCACATTGCATATTTATTCATTAGTGTATTTAGATGTATTTATTTTAACACATGCAGAGTACTTCAGAGATGTGTAATGTTAATGTGAGATTTTTATTAAAGGGATTTCTGCAGAGTTTTAATATGACTTAACCATGTTTCTCCTCTTGAACAGTTCTGGGGGGAACTGACCTCATGCAACTCATGACATGCCTCCACAGTATTTTTTGGAATGTATTTATGTACACACTACCATAGGAAAG